AACAGGTATGTTGTCCGGGCTGCAAGCTGTAGAAGAGTCTAAGCAGGAAATCACTTTAGATACAGAAGCTGGAGTGATACAAATGTCAAGCAATGGATTAACCTGTTTGACGGCTATATCAGGTAAAATGCAACTAGTGGAATCAAGAGATGATATTTATGAAATGTTCTTGGCAATCAATTCAACTTTGTCTTTAGGTGAGGTGACAAAGTCTGAACCATACAAAAGAGGTGGAATTACAGACTTGCCCTTATTATTGATACTAATAAATATTCTCGAAAAGTCACGAGAACCTAATTTTTGTGATTAAATACGAGATTTCATGATCAGAGAATAGTGGGCTTTGGCGTTAGACAAAACCTTTTTACAATGGTTCTTATATATATATATATATATATATATATATATATAAATATATATATATATATATATATATTGTTACGAAGGTGGGTTACTCAAGCGAAATGCTTGAGTAATTCAAGTTTATTGAACCATATAGACGAGTAGCATAGACGCTAACGTACCAAAACAATTTATTTATGATAAGTTTTTTATACGTTTTGTTTATGCCTCTAGCGTTTAAACAAAACGTATAAAAACGTATAAAAACTTTCCCATCCCAAACCCTCAGTCGATGTAGCAGCACTCCACTGCGAGTCAGGCTATTTGTCAGTTGATGTATCTACTGAAGCCCCCAGCAGCAGGCTATTTCAGTATGATGTCAGATTGTTTACAATAGTACGCAATACTATTTGTATATATATATATATATATATATATATATATATATATATATATATATATATATATATATATATATATATATATATATATATATATAAATGCAGTATGTATATTATCTATATTTTGCTGTATGTATATATATATACATATATATATATATATATATATATATATATATATATATATATATATATAAATATATATATATATATATATATATATATATATATGTATATATATATATATATTGTTTATATATATATGTAACTTTGTTTTATGTATGAAATTAAGTTGCATGTATGTATGTAATATATATTGCATTAAATTGTTTTAATATATATATATATATATATATATATATATATATATATATATATATATATATATATATATATATATATATAATATATATATATATATATATATATATATATATATATATATATATATATATATATATATATATATATATATATATATATATATATATATATATATATATATGTTAAACCAATTTAATGCAATATATATTACATACATACATGCAACTAAATTTCATTCATAAAACAATTTCATTTTTACAAATTTCATTCATAAAACAAAGTTACATGTTTAAAGAAAAAAATTGAAAAGTACAAACATACAATCGGGATACAGTCAGTGTAACTGAAGTATGATTTATAACGATCATCAATGCTTATATGATACATCAAACAAATAACTACCAACGTGTGTTTAGTATTCTTTAAAAGATCAACTAACTTAGGTACCAATCCACTCTTAACAGCTTTTTCGCGAAGCTCTGTATCAAAACTTAAATTGAGAAGTAGTCGTAGTAAAAGATTTAAAAGATCATCATTTTTGTTTGGAATAAGTGAGGCAATTTTATCTGTAATATCTGTTTTTGACATTTCATTAATGTTCTCCTTATAGATACTTAGTTTTTTTAAAAAGGATACAACAAGAACAAGCAGTTCATCATTATTTCTTGATAACAACTTTACAAGAATTCCTATAAAATTTTTATTCCTAATTTTATTTTCAACTTTAATATCTTCAGCTATATTTAGCAAAAAATAAACACTAACTCGTAGCAGATGCTCCTGTTTTGTTACAAGACTTTGGAACTTTTTATAACTTTTTTCATATTCTTTTTTTAAATCAGCATTATTCGAAACAGCATTACCAGCAGAAGTGTTACCTGCAGCAATACTTTGTTTTTTTGAAAGTTCATCAAGCCATAAATCATGTTTTCTTATCTCTTGTTCTACTATTTGTAAACACAGCGCACCAATTTTATGGTGCAGAATTATGTTATGGAAATCAGTAAAACTTGAAAAGCAAAAAAATGTATAAATAATATTTGTTGTTAACTCAGTGCTATTCTTCCATTCTTCACGTAAAACTCGAGCCAATGCACTTAAAAGCATTTCTAAAAAAAATTGAAATTCTAAATAACAAATCAATTAATTATTGCAAATCAATTCAATAATAAAACATATAGAAATAGGCAAAATAACAAAATAAAGTGACAATGCAATTGTATGTATTTTTATTGCTTTCCCCACAATTAAAACCATCATATTTTTGGTAAACACAAAATATGTTTACAATAGCATAATCTTATGTACCCAAATGTACGCTTGTACCAAAATATTCTTAAAAACAAAGTTAATATTTTATTAATTATTTCTTATTAATTAAAAACATTAAGTAAAAATAGTTTTTTGAACTAAAAAACAACAGCAAAATTTTAATAAAATTAAATATACTAAAACAACATTGATAAAATTGAAACTATAGAAGAAACAGTCAATCAAATGAATTGTCGTAAAAATCGAGTTCAGTAAATTCTTCAAAAACATTAACTTGGTTTTCTTCTTTTTAGTGCAACTGTCATTTTTATTTGTAATTTTTTGAAATGGTTTTTTACAATAACAATTTTTCTGAAAATCAACATCTTTATATCATTGCAAGAAATCATTGTAAATTACTTCTTTGGTGACCCAGATAAAATTACTTTCAATTTTACAAAAGAGTTTTCCAGAATTCTCTTCAATACTATTTAAAAAGTGCTTAGCTGAATCTGGTTTTCTTGACTCCTAGAAAATGGCATCTGTGGCTTCAATTTTTAAGAAATCTAAAGATTGATCTAAACCCACTTCCTATAGCATTAGTCTTTAATAATTAAAGACCTAAAAAAATTATTGAGTAGTCAATCAAGACTGCTTTTGACTGACCACTCTGGATAAAAATTTGTCATTTAAATAATACTTTTGACTGACCAATCTGTACAAAAATTTGTCATTTGAAATACTGCTTTTGACTTACTGTTCTTTATTGAATACTCTTGAATAACTGCTCTTGACATATTTAAAAGTTTCAAAAAAATTATTGGGTTAAAGGCAGCACCGAAGCTCAAACTTTTTTTTTATATTGAGTTTTTTCTATACTATTTTCTAAAAATTTTTGTATATAATATAAAAAAACCTAAAAATAGAAAAATAATTTAACAAATAAAATACAAGAAACTTTTACCACAATGTAACTGACAATATTTTTCTTAAAATTTTTCTCCTTTTTTTGATAAAAGATTCAAAAAAAGGAGAAAAATTTTAAAAATTAAGCATGATAAATGTTGATCATGCTTAATGTAGTTAATGAACCTTATCAGTGTGCTGCCTTCAAAAATTTGTTATTTACAATAATGCTCAATGACAAAAGCATGCTAGTATTAAACAGTAATTCATATATCTTAATTTAAAAAAACCTTAAAATCATTTATTTTTTAATACTATAAAAAAAAATCAGCTTTATTGTCACAACAAGGCAGTGACCATCTGGTAAGTGATTTATTCTTATCAGATTGAACATAGGAATCCAGGGTAAAAAAAGAGAACAATTTAAAAGAAAATAATGGTACCATTTTCAGCCAATTCAGTCAGGTTATCAGGATTCCTTGCAACTTGTAATATTAAACCAGTTCCTTTGATTTTTGAAACTGTATCTTCATAAAGGTATTCTACATATTCTTCAATGTTGTTTAAATTTGCTGAATCATCAAATTCATTACTGTCAAAAGGATCAACTTCTTTTTTTTTTTTGGCTAAAAAAAACCATCTTTTCATACAATTATCATAAAACCATTTTTATTTATAAAACCATTCAAAATTTTTTTATAACAACTTTATTTATTTATTAAAATCATTTCTGATGAATAAAATCATGACGTAAGTTAAGCAAATTTTAAAAATAAAGCATACCTGTTTTTTTGTCATTTACTCCAGCATTGCCACCTGTCATAACTTTACCTGCACCACTTTTACGTTGCTGCAAGTAATAAAGTAGCTGTTCAACTTCTGGCAAACGTGAAGGATGAATCAATTTACATTTGTTCACAATTTCTTTTGCTAATATTTGAATATTTGTATTACCATCTAAAGACTTAAGACGAATTCTAAAATAAAATTCAAACTTGATTGGTCTATTGAATAAACTTTAAAAAAGTATGAATAAAATGCCTAATTTAACCTTACACTTTTTGACATTCTTTTCTTTCGCCCAGCATTGGATCACCCAATTCACCAAGAATGACAGCCTCAAGTTCATAATTAACAATAATAGCATTTTCAGTAGGATGAACATCAATTGTGCCACCCTTTACTTTTCTTTAAAAAACGGAGTTATTCAGATTAACGAAAACAAAATTATACATAAGAAATTTAAATAGTAAATTTATTTTAGCAAAGTGCATATATTATGTAGAGTTTGGATTGTAAGGTGACAAAACTTACAAAATTTATACAAAATTTATGCACTAAACTTTTTTTGTAAAAAAAATTCTGTACATAAACTTGGTTGTAAATTATTTATAGGTATTTATATAAATACCTATAAAATAAATAAAGACAAAGTAAAAAGGTAATGAGTAGGTTTTGTAACACTAAAAACATTTTTTTTTGGCCAATAAATGACTAAAGGTGATATAATACTGTAAATTTTCATTTTAGTATAAACTTTAAAATTTTGATCTAATGGTTTCCAATAGTTGTAGAAATGTTGTACAACAGTTGTTGTACAACATTTCTACAACTATTTCATAATGGAAACAATTTCTTACATTAGTTGCACAACTTAAGACCTGTTGTACAACTAAATATTGCCAAAATAAAAGCAAATCAATTTTTGCAACAAATGTTGTACAACCATATTGCACAAGTGTTGAACATTGTTTTTTCGACAATCAGAAACTAAGTTTAAGATATAAACAAAATTTGTATTTAAAAATTAATCAACATTTTTCTTATAAAAATTTAAATTTTTTGAAACTAGAATATAAAAAAATACTAAAAAGAAATTTGCATTTGAAAAAGAATATGACATAATCTTGATCAATCCTCCTTTTTCCATTTATATATATATATATATATATATATATATATATATATATATATATATATATATATATATATATATCCACATATATATATATATATATATATATATATATATATATATATATATATATATATATATATATATATATATATATACATATATATATACATATATATATATATACATATATATATACATATATATATATATATATATATATATATATATATATATATATATATAATATATATATATATATATATATATACATATATATATATATATATATATATATATATATATATATATATATATATGTATATATATATATATATATATATATATATGTATGTATGTATATATATATACAAATAACTTAAAATGTATTCTACAAAATAGAGTGCTCCATGTTCATAAAAGAACAGAGTTGTGGTTATAACCCTATTTGGCAGCTTGAACAAATCTTTACTTTTAAACAGTAATTTGTTCTATCAAACTCCTTGATTTGTTTTATATAATAAAATAGCAATGGAATAAAAAATATTTTTTGGACTACCATGTGACCCTTGAATATTTAATAGATTCCTAATATTATCTAAAAAAATTTCTTTACAAGTATGTTAACTTGGTATTCAACAGTAATTAATATTTTTATAAAATTTCAACCATAGTAATCATATTTTAGAATAAAATGTCTAAAATCCAATTAGAAAAACATTGAAAACCCTTTTTTAAAAAATGTTAAAAAATAATCAAAAGGTATACTTTTTACATTTGTTTGTGAATAATAAACATTTTTGGTGATGCAACGAGTTTTGGTAATGCCACACCTAACATTTAAATGTTCCACATAAGAAAGAGTAAATACGTAATTTTTTTAATTTATGTATGAGATTTGTAAACTAATAAAGGGTGTACAGAAAATAAATGTGAAAGAGTAAATACGTAGTTTTTTTTCAGTGGTTGTATTAATAAATTTTTCATTATGTTTGTATTTTGTTACCAACATGTAAAGATTTCAAATAAAGATTTTAGTTTTCCCATTTAACTTAAAATAAGTTTTAAAAATGACAAAAGAAGCAGACATTAAAAAAATATTTTGCACAAATTTTATTTATTATTTTATTTAAAATCTGAATTTAGCTAGAATTTAGAAGCAAAAAAGTTGCAAGCTGTTTACATTTCTACATTGTTAGTCGTGTTGCTTAACATTTTTCCTAAACAAAATCAATCAAATGCAAATATGGTAATGGAGGAAATTAGGTTTTTCAAAATATAAAACTAGTTAGAAAACTGGTTCACAATTTTATGAATAATCCAAGCTTTTCACTAAGGGAATAAAAACAAAATTTTCTCATTGTTTTGTTGTAAAAGTTTGGCATAAATATGTTTTTCAAACTTTCATATTACAAAAAGTGCCTAACTGTTATGAAATTCAAAAAAAAAAACAAGAACCCACTGAAGAAAGTTGTATGACAACTATTTTTCTAAAGATTTCTGAATTATTGAAGATGATGAAACTTATATGAAATATGATCAGCAGCAAATTCCTGGTGTTGTCTATTACCATTCCAAATATAGAGGAAAAGCAAATAAGAAACTTTAATACACAAAAAATTATAAATTTCTTAAAAAAAGCTTAGATTTGGCAAAAAAAATCTTTTTTTTTGGCGATTTGCGGGTATGACAAAAAATCAGCACCCTATATTTCTGAGTCAATATTTTTTGGTAAAATATATGTCAAAGCATGTTAACAAAAACGTCTTTTACCTTTTACTAAATCACATGATAGTAGATATGTGTCTTGTGTGTATGATTGATCATCTGATTGATCATATAGCAAACTGGGATGGCATAAAAAAAATGACCTGAAAATTGTCTAAAATAGCAAATCCTCCAAACCACCCAATATTAAAAATTATTGCAAAGTACTGGGTAATTATTAGACAAAAAATAAATTAAAAAAAACTATGCATAAACATTAAACATTTGAAAAAATCAAATAGTTTTGATTGTTGTTCCGTGTGCAAACCTATATGTACCACGAAAACAAAAGTTCGAAATTTTATTAGATACCGATAGGAATAAATTAATTTCTTTGAAATATTTTATCCTCTTATGATGCATTAAAATAATATATCTAAATAATTATCCATGAGTTCCTTTTTTATTTGTTTTCTTTTTTTTTAATAAAAGTCAATGAGTTCCTTTTTTAGTTGTATTTTCACACTTATTTAGTGTATACGCTTTATTATATTATATAAAGTTTACTTGAACTCAGTAACTTAAAAATGGTATAAAAAAAGTCAGAGTTTTGGAAAGTAAATAAATTTTTTTTTTTTTTATAACTTGATTTAAAAAAAATGAATAAAGATACGCGTTACTCATTTTAATAAACACATGTATAAACAGAGTGCTGTAACTGTTGGGGCCTTGTGTGGTAACTTTTTGGGGCCCTTAATTTTTTTTTTTTTTTTTTATATATACTTTATTAAATTAGTTTTAATTAAATTTAATTTAAAAAAATCATACAAAGATATTATAAAGTATTGCTTATCCTGAATGTTTTTCCTGAGACATAGTAGATTCTAGTTATTAATGATTTGAAATTCTTATTCATATTTTCCTCAAAATATTTGTTTTCAAGTTGAAAGCATTTAAACTATTTAATTCAATTAAGATAATGTTTGAAATTGACAAACTTTTAGCTGGTTTAAAATATTTATCTAACGATTCAGGATGGCATTTTAATTTGCTACTTTCCATATCTGTTTTGTTCTTTTTTGTGCGCTTACATATCAAATCTTTTCAAAATTTGAGCTAAATAAATGTTGTATGTAAATCTAAAATAAACGACAAATGAATTTTAAAATGTTACCAAAAGAAAAAAGTTAAAAAATAAATAAAAACTAACTAGTACTTAATGCTTTGTTTAATTTTTTATATTTTATATTAAAATTAGGAAATATTCCTTGAATATTTAATAAAATAGTTTCTAATCAAAAAAATCTTAGTAGTAAAATTTTCTAGAGGCTTCTAGTGCTGGTTTTTTATAAACAAATTTCATATTAATGGGCTTTAAATATTTGGGGCCCCATAAATATAGGAAGCCAGTGCAATTGCACTTATTATACTTGCGATAGTACAGCTCTGTGTATAGACCATCTTTTTTGATACATTCAGTAATGCTATGCATTTTTTTAAATGATTTTTATTTGTAAGATTTTTGCTAAAAACTCTTTCAAAATTTACATAGGGGTCATCCATAAAGTACGTCACGCTACTAGGGGGGGGGGGGGGAGGCATAAGTTTGTGACAATTTGTGACAAGGGGGGAGGGGGGAGTTTGACGAATGTGACATCACAAAAATTATTTATCATGATTATTTTCTACTTATTTACTCATTCAATTAAAGGAGTATTTCCGATTGCCTAAAATTTTACTTACACTTCTTATGTTTTGCGTATCGCCGTATTTTAAATAGTTTTGAATAGTTTAAAAAGTTCGCAAAAAACTGCCTTCAAGTTTCTGAAGACATTAAAGCGCAGCAATGCAAAATCATTAAATTAAGAACGTATAATTTAAGTTTGGAATTTTAAATAGAGAGTTTAAATAAGTAAATAAAACATTTTTAAAATATTATCTTTTATATTATTTATTTTTTTGAATCTTATGGCAGTATATAAACATAATAGTTTTAGTTATATTTACATTTAAGCAAGAATATATGACTACTTAAATATATAATATATAATAACTAAGTTAAATAGACTTGCTCATGCTTTGAATAGCCAATAGCAAACAAAGATTATTATCAAATAATAGTGTAAATAGGATAGAAGCTAGTTAGCGCTCAGTATAACTAAGTTAGTAGTAATTGATATTATGGCATAAATACAATATTTTTAATTTCTCTAAATGAGTGCAAATGTGTTTCAGGCAATTTATAATATAAAGATGGACAAAGGACAGTTATACGCATCACTTTATGATGCCTATGTTAAGGCATATTCACAGAAGAGGAAACAAGATTGTCAAAAGGAAGTTAATGATATTTGGAGTAAGGTGAAATCTGAAGATAATCTTTCTGCAAAAGTAGACTCCCTGTTAAGAGAATATGATGCTCTGTTTAAAAAGAAAAAAGGTACACTGATGAGTTTCTGGGCAAATCAATCATTACGACATGATGATGCGAAAACTATACCACGTAAATCATCGGCTCCGGATGTTCTAGCAAAATTACCAGATACTGTTGTAGGGGGTAATAAATGTAAAGCTTCTTCTTGTGAATGTTCTATGATAACTTCATCAACGTCTGGTTCTGAAAATGTAGGAAAATATAAAACAAAAGTTCAAGATGAACTAAAAGTTAAAATTGATGTTATCAAGAGTGATTTAGTTGGACTACATAAAAGAAAAGACAGTGGTATTATTACGAATGATCAAGAAGCAGAGCTTATTGAGAAAAGAAGAAAAGTAGATATGTTGGAGAAAAGTTTGTTAAAAAAAAAAAAAGAACAAGCAAGACAGAAAAAAACTAGAGCAAAAAAAAGAGATACTCTCGCTAAAATTTGCGCAGAGAACCCTGGAGTTTGTGATGCTTTGAAAGCAAAAGATAAAACAGGTCGACCTTCTGTTGAAATTAATCAACCACTTTTCCTGAAAGCCATTGTTGATATTGCTTTACATGGATCAGCTGCACATGAAAGACGACAAAGTGATATGTATCGCAGTATTAAAACACTAGATGAATTGACTAAGCAACTAAATAAAGATGGTTATCAGGTGAGTAGGAGCACCGTTTACACTCGGCTAATGCCACGACGAAGTTCAACTTTGGAAGGAAAAAGACACATATCAACAGTGCCAGTCAAATTGATCCGATCTCAGAATGAGTCACACTCAAAGCACATCGATGGAAAATTCTGTACAGCAACCTTGAGACACCTGGAAGAGTTGTCGTCTATACTGGGACCAAAAAAAAAAGTCTGTTTTATTAGCCAAGATGACAAAGCGCGAGTCCCTATTGGGTTAACAGCTGCAATCAAACAAGCTCCATTGCTTATGCATGTTGAATATCGCATCAATTTGCCAGACCACGATTGGGTTGTTGCAGCAAGACATAAGCTTATTCCATCAGTATATGCTGGAATTTGCATCAAGAAAGATGGACTTGGTAAACCAGTAGCTGTTACGTATTCAGGTCCAACTTATATTGCAATCCGATCAGGCAAACATTCGTCTTCTTCTGCTCTTGCTCATGGTTTAGACTTTGAGAGATTGTTACAATTAGACGAATTTGATGCAATAACAAAAGACGGCAGAGATAAGATAATAAAGCCTATTGTTGTCTTCACGGTGGATGGAGGACCAGATGAAAATCCACGTTATCAAAAAGTCATAGATGTTGCTATCCACCATTTTGTTAAAAATAATCTAGACGCCTTATTTATTGCAACCAACGCGCCAGGTAGAAGTGCTTTCAATAGAGTGGAACGTCGAATGGCTCCACTGAGCAGAGAACTTTCTGGTGTTATATTGCCTCATGAACGCTATGGTAGCCATCTCGATTCACAGGGCAGAACAATAGATGATTATTTGGAGAGAAGAAATTTCAAGTATGCTGGACAAACATTGGCTGAAATATGGTCACAAGTTATTATTGACCAGTTTCCAACAGTTGCCGAGTTTATTGATCCAGAGACATCTGAGCTAGATGCAGAAGAATTGATAATTAAAGATATAAAATGGTTTTCTGAACACGTCCGCACAAGTCAATACTTTACTCAAATTGTTAAATGTCAAGATGTAAAATGTTGCTTTAAAATAAGAATCTCATATTTCAATGTTGTTCCTTCGCGATTTTTATGTCCTCCAATTCCAGTTATTCAAACAAGTAATGGTCTTCAAGCTGACAAAAGAGGAGAAAGTGAGTCTCATAAGTATCCATCACTTTTTGTTTCACATAGTATTAAAATAGATGATATAATGGCCAGATCGGCAGGAAGTTTCCAAGTTCATCCTTATGATCTCTTTTGTCCATCAGTACAGACTTGTCTATTGAATCGAATATGCAAAGTTTGCCATCTCTATTTTGCTTCTCAAGCTATCTTGAAAAAACATGTTGAATTGCACAAAAATTGCGATAAAGGAAATACTGTTCTTGAGAAAACTCAAACAAAGCGTATCAGACCAATAAGAGTAGCCGCTAGAAGACAAAGAGAGCTGATGGTAGTTATTGCTCGAGAAAAAAATGAAGATATAGAGTGGCTGGATGAAGACGAAGTTGATGTTTCGGGAATTGTCATTCCAGATGAAGATTTAGAAAAAACATCAGAAATGCCTGTCCTAACTATAGACGAACACTTCAAATCTCCGTGGATGGATAATAATAAATGGGTAGATAAAGTAAAAGTTTAATTTGTAATTTGAAAAACATAAGGTTCAAATAAAAAAACTATTTTTATTTTATTTTATGATGACAATCTTTCCCAATAAATTAAGAAGGTATTTCAAATTAGTTAAATTGAGTCTTTTTTATTCTGTTAAATAGCTATTACTATGTTTTTAGAATGTTGAAAATTCCGTAATGGTTTGTTTTTTTTTAGAGGGAGGGGGGGGGGGAGAAACATGTGACATACTTTTTTAGGGGGGGTGCAGAAATATGTGACAGTTTGTGACAGGAGGGGGGGAGGGGGTTGAAAATTGAAAAAAATAGCGTGACATACTTTATGGACGACCCCATATCTAAAAAGTTTATATTTTTTTGATTAGTAATATGAAAATAAAATTCTAAATGATATGGCTAAATAAAAAAATCCTATATAACAATAACCAGTTAGCAATAACAAACAGCAAACCAATACTATTGATAATAATGGTGATCATCATCATCATCATCATCATCATTATTGATGATGATGATGATGATGATGATGATAATGATGATGATGATGATGATGATGATGATGATGATGATGATGATGATGCTGATGATGATGATGATGATGATGCTGATGATGATGCTGATGATGATGATGATGATGATGATGATGATGATGATGATGATGATGATGATGATGATGATGATGATGATGATGATGATGATGATGATGATGATGATAATCAAAGCTATTGTTATAGACAGTGTATTGTGGGGATTATTATATTATTGAAGTTTAGAGATTGTGATTTATGTTTTAAATAAAAATTTGATTAACCCTTTTTAATGAATAAATTTTAAATTTAAATAAAAAGTAAATATATATATATATATATATATATATATATATATATATATATATATATATATATAACATTATAAAAAATACCTTTTTAAAAAACGAGCATCTTCTTCTTGCATAATGGCAACTAAATGATAACAGCATTTATTTTATATTTTTAACATATGGCAAAAGAATTATAACATTATTTGAAATAGCATGAAAATAGCATAATTATAAAAATACTCTTGCAAAAACAATAAAATATTTTGTAAAAAGTAAAATAAAATTTTAAATAGCCCTCAATAAAAAAATTGATAGTCATAGAATAGCTTTGCAAAATTTTTAAGCGAAAATTAAACAAAAATATAAAACAAAGATTATTTAAGTTTTTCTTTTCAATTATAAATAAGTTTGTCTTTTTTAAATCAAAAATTATTTTAAAAAAATTTATGAAACTATTTTTACTCTTTTTTATAAAACTATAACAAAAACGAAAATTGGATACAGTTTGAATTACATCTAAAGGTAAAGAGAACATTTGTAGCATAACTAATTATCTAGAGCTACTAGATAATTAGTTATGCTACAAATATCTAGAACTAGTCTACTAAACTTAGAAAACAGAATGTATAAAAATAATAATTTCAAAAAAAACCTTATCCGATTTTTCAGATTTTTTGACAAATTTTTTATTTTAATTTAATTAGTTGAAAAATGAATTCAAAGTTTGTAAATCTTCTTTAAAAAGTGTATATTGCATTGAAAGAGTAAAGTTTGCTCTATAAACTTTCTCAAAGTTAAAGTAGCATAAAACTCTTTGTCATTGCATGCCATTGTAGAAATCTTTCATTAACATAATACAATTTTGTGTGCAGGTAATGTTGAAACAACTTCCAGCTCAAGTATATTATTACTTTTTTGCTTTACACAGGTTGGGCATTTTGCTGTAAAGCATTAATAAATATTCAAAACTATGTATGGTACAATTATGTGCTCTATTTTTAACTCTAATTTTTTATTTATTTTAACTCTATTTTTACCTCTAATTTTTAACTCTTATTGATTTAACTCAATTTTTTGTTGTATACCTTTTTTATCTCTATTTTTTAGGCTTTATTACTAAACAACAACTTGGTTCTTAATTTCTCTGCTTTTTTTTATATAATGTTAATCATTATTGGCATGTGAATGATTGAAAGTGATCACCTTCACCATTTTTTAGATTTACTACAAAGAAGACATATGCTCTACAATTTTTCTTCAAATAATAAAGATGCTTATCATCCTAATATGGATTTAATTCTGAAAACTTAAAAATATATATATACTTTTACCTGTAATAAACCAAACTCGAAAACTCAAGATTCTTTTCCTTCTAAATTTTTTCACTCAACAATTAACTAAGTTTTTAAATGCGCATGTGAATGAATACAGTAGTATTCTTAAAGATTTTTTATTCGCTGTCAATAAGCCATTTTTAACTAAGAAGAAATTTAACTAATTAAATTCTGATAAAGAACTTAAAAATATAAATTTTATTTAATCACAGAAAAATAAAACGCCAAAATATTCTCTGATTTGTTGTTATGGTTTTAAATCAGTAGCCTCGATGTTCCAATTGTTTTAAATAATTCATTTTTCGCGGATAAAATTAACTCGAAAATAAAAAATAAAACCGAAAAAGTGAACCTTACAATTAAAAGTGCCCGGTGTTTAAAATATAAAAAGCAACACATTTCTTTTTTTTTTAGTTAAATTTATATTTTATTAATGAAAAACTCAAGAAAAGACTATATTTTTGCTAAACCGAAAGTGTTTTATCAACGCAACACGTTCTAAAAGCAAATCAACTCAACGCTACTTCAACGCAAATAAAAATAAGTCCAAACAATCATTAGTGGACTGGACAATTTTACAAACTATATATATATGCACATATATTAAATAAACTATAGTATTGGCTATATATATTAAAATAAACTATTATATTGGCTGTCATAATTATTGCCAATACAATAGTTTCCTTGATATTGTTACAAAACTTTTGAGGATTGGTTTTATCAAAGTTACTTAATAATTTCGGTAACATTATTTGGTTTTTAAGTTTTGAGCTTTTATAGTTATTTCAGCGTTAATTTATTAATTCCAGAACACTCCTGCACTTTTTAAAATTCTTTTTATTTATAAACATTCTTTTGAATGCTAAAATAGCAGCTTTTTTATTTTTTTTCTTTATATATTTTTACAACTTAATTTTTACAACTATTAGGTTTAACAATATATACTTTTATTACAAATACAATCAAAATGCTTCAAAAATAACTTAAATAATATTTAGATATATTTGATGTACATAGTAATAAAATAAAGTATAATAGTTTTACAGTTTATATTTTGAAAAGACATAATAAGTCTTTAAAAACGCGAAAAAAAAAACCCTTTAGTTACGTAGTCAAGGGAAACTCGCAGAAAACTGTGCGAAGTCTTGTAATCGAGAATCCTTCTTTTTAAATAATTTCAAAGATACTCACAACTATTTTATTCATAACTTGTTATATTTTTCAATATATTTTATATATATTTTCCATTAGTCGTGTCATTAAGAAGAAGCATAACATAAACATAACATAATATTTTTTGGTATTCATTTGTTATACAGGTAAGGACTACGATATGCTATAGAGAATCGCGATAATTTTCTTTTTTTCAAATGTATTATATAGTTTCCAGTTGCTCTAGTGACAAATTTATTTATATTAGTTTTAAAAAAGTTATTTATAAATCAACTTTGAACAGTTCCTATTTTAATTTTGAACATAAACAAAATATTTTAATATATATTGATTTGGTAAATGTTTAAAGCATTCATCTGTTTTAGTAATGGGTTTGCATGAGTAAGTTTGTCTTTATAAAATATAATTCATGAAGCAAGTTTCTGTCGTCTATAGAGAGAATTTAACTTTTATGGGTACTTGTTCATGCTATATTGGCGTATGATAGATAGCTGTGTATAAAGGAAAAATAAAGAAGTTTCAAAATTTTAAACGATAGATAATGTCTTTTTTTATAGATTTTATAACTTTTAACCAATACTTTTTGAGATTTTTGTATTAATGGTATATATGTGAGAGTTCCGTGAAAAATTCTCGTCAAGAACCACACCAAGAAATTTAGATGATAGAGTTCGTTCAATAATTGTGTTGTCTATACTAAGAGTTAGTAAAATTGATGGAATAGTTTGTTTTTTTTTGGTTGGAGTGAAATAAGATGTATTTATTTTTGTTTAAATTTAATGACAGTTTGTTAGCTCTGAACCATGTGTTAAGTTTAATAAGTTCTAAATTTGCGGTTATAAAGAGGTCACTTTTTATAACCGCAAATTTAGAACTTATTTTATTTTTATGTGATTAAGTTAAGACGAATTTTTTTCGAAGGATTTAGAAATAAAAACTGCATTAACTTAAATCTGATGAAAATTAAAATACTTTTGTTATGTAAAATTTATGTTACAAAATTGTGTTCATGTATTACCTAGTGAGACGGCAGTAAATTTTTATCAGTTATGAAAGTTTTTTCTCAAAAGTTATTTTTACCGCTTTTTTCATTTTTTTTTTTTTCAGTAGAATAAAAGAATAATTGATGTGTCAGAACAATGACAGTCCGGAATAATAATAACCCATAGAGTTTTTGAAATATTTCCACAAAACCAATTTTTTTTTTTTTTTTAAATGTCATAAAGCAAATATCTTACTAAATATAGTACTAAATACTTTTGGAAAAAATTATCTTCGAGCTGTTTACAATCTTTTAAACTGTTAAACAACAGTATTTGTATAACTTCGTGATTCTACGCCACAAAATCAACATAATTGAATGATGCTTGTCGCAATTTGCTGGATTCATGTTTTCAGAAGATGGCTGGATCATCATGGATTATTAAAAAAAAAATTTTTTCAATTACATGTTTTATAATATAAACTTGTTATCTGGAGAAGATCATACTGATCTTAGCGCCAGAACCATATAAAAATTGAAATATAAATGTAATATAATACAATCAAAATAAAAAATAAATGATTTAAAGTTATATCTCAAAAAAATTTTAATATATTATCCATTAAAAAAATAATATTTTTTAACTTACTTTTAAAAACTGGAAGAGAGATTTACAAATTAAAATTGTGCTGAACAACTTTATTTAAAAGATGAGGTGCTCGATAAGTTATACAAAATTATTTCGCAAACTGTATTTATTATTTGTTTTAAGGGTACATATATCTTTAAAAACATTTAATAATAGGTAATTTATACAATAAAACGAAAAACCTCAGGTATTATAAATGTTAAGTTCATAAACGTAGACAAAAGTCGCTTTTTCAAACACTCTTTCACGTAAACATTGCAGTTTTGTATTTCCGTTCGTAAAAAAAAGGCAGAGTTTTGAAAACACACGAACAGATGGCTTGCCATCCAATACAAGGCTTTTTTAAAAAATATTTTGGTTTTAATTGTTTTTAGCTAAACACCATGTTTTGTTCCTTTCGGAATTGTATAATTTTGATGGCTTGGAAGATGAAACCTACTGCAAACTTGATTGTTTGAATCAAGTTTGCAATAGGTTTCATTATCCATAAAAATGCACTTTGATTTCCTTGAAATTTTTCTTGTAACAATTTTCGACCACGTTTTTGAATTTCGCTGAATTGTTGTTAGGACTTTCAAGAAAATTTCTGCGTTTTGTATGCCTTGTAGCATATCTCTTTATGACTTTTTGAATTGTAGACCTGGAAACACCCGTTTTTATTTCGATATTTTGAACGGAATACTCTGGATTTGCATCAATACACCAAATCGTTTTTTGATGAAGTTTTAAATTTGACGTAATTTCTTTCAACTTTCTTTCCAATCTCCTTCACTCCATGGTATGACGATAAACTGAGGGTTTTTCTTTAAACTTTTTTGCAAGCGAATTAATTCAAACATTAAGTTTTTTAAGCCACTTGTCCAATAAAAACTTTCTTACTTCTACTTGCAAATAAATTTGCTATTTTAAAATCAAGTTTTTTAAAACTACAGTTTTATTATTTGAAAAGTAGGTAAGTTTGATATAAAATAAAAATCATAAAACTTAATTAAGTGGTTCTTGAAATGTTTCAAAAATTCGATTGTTCATTATCATTCCGGACAGTCTTTATCATGTAAGAGAAAATATTAAGCATTAAAAGGCCATTTTTTGAATATAAAAGATATCAAAATAAAATATATAAAATAATTAAAATAAACAGGGACTCAAAAGAAGTTGAGTCCATACGTCATTGCGTATGGGTTGTCCATACGTCATTGCGTATACGTCATTGCGTATGGGTTGCGTATGGACATTGAGTATATCCATACGTCATTAAGTATGCCCATACGATCATTTCATAGAGCCCCTTTAACAAAACTTCAATATATGTTATTACGCTATAATTTATGAAATAAAGTTTCAATAAAATATTGAATAAAATGAGAAAAAAGGAAATTTTAAAATTTCCTTTTTTGATGTAAACTTGAATGAACTTAACGAACTTATCAAACTCTTGAATCCTTTTTGAAAGGTATTCGATATCTTAGACTCGACGGTCCATGGCCCTTGATATGAAATGTTTTATTCCGAATAGTTATTAATTATCCGAGGCAGTTTATATATGTTCATCATGTTTGCTCTTAAATGATAATCTTCTTTTTTTCAAATTTGTTAATAAAGCTTGATGGACAGATATTGTTATTGTAACGTGAATGTAATTTCTAACATGAAAGTTAAATACATATACATTCATATACATTCATCGTTTTAATATCTTTCATTTAAGTTTTTCGCGTGTTCTATCTTTAGAATAAATGATACTACAAGCACGTTTTTGTAAACTATAAAGTTTCTTAAGCTTTGATGTTTGAGTACTTTCCCATGAAATGTTTGCTAATGAAGCTATGAATTAGTCTAGAGAAGAATAATTAATGACGTATGGTTATGGTTATTTTTGGTTATTAAAAACGTATGGTTTTGGTTATTTTTGACTGGATGTGCTTTTTTTTTTTTTTTTCTTTATGATTTTTTACAACTTTATAAACTATTGTTAGAATTCCTTCTCTTGACATAATATATAGTCATAGAGAAAATAACAATAAATGAATACATATATAAATCGTTAAAAATATATTGTCAAACACACTGTGTTAAATACAAAGTATATGTTTTATATATATTTTATGATAATAAATTTGATAAAATAATTTGGCGAAATAATTGTGATGTTGTAAGGAAACTCGCGGAAGACTTAAAGAAGTCTTGTCATCGAAAGTAAAGAAGTCTTGTCATCGAAAGTAAAGAAGTCTTGTCATCGAAAGTAAAGAAGTCTTGTCATCGAAAGTAAAGAAGTCTTGTCATCGAGAACCTGTGAGAAATAAAATAAGTAAAAAATTAAAAAGGAAACTTATTAAGTGGCATTACTAGAGTAATATACATAAAAATATTAAAATTAGTAGGTGTTGTATAAGAATTTTGGATTTTTTTTTTTTTTTCA